CCCCAAAACCCCAAAACCCCACGGTGCATTCATAATGCCTAATCATTTTAAATAATAATGAAATTTAATAAAACAATACTTAGCTTAATCTTTTTAAATGGACTTAAGTAGGCATTTTACCTGATGCTTGCACCTTTTCTGCCTGCTTAATTTGATGAAAAGGGAGTTAATAAAGCCTTTTACACCCCTATGTTTGTGTAAGTATTAAGAGACCTATTTGAACTTATTATAGATCCTACACAGTATTTTTCTTTTTAACATCTATCTTCGCTGGAAAAATGCAAGGCAAGTTTGGTCGAAAGTTAACTATAAGAGTGTCTCTGTTCTTAAATTTTGGGGCTGCTCTATGTTTTATTAGTCTATATTACATAGAAAATGTGTAAGATCAACTGCCTTGTAAAAAAAATACAGTCCACTATTTCTTATTTTTGGATTTTTCGGGAGAATTATACAAGGTGTTGGAACTGGTTTACTTCAAACTGCATGTAGAATTATTCAAAATTTATCTACTTATTTAGCCTACTCAGAACTATTGATATAGTTTCCTGAAATTTAAGAGCAGTTAGTTTCATTTATGGAGTTCGGATGCGGTAAGATTATTATTGCTAATTATCTATATTAGAATTTGGAGCAATTTGTGGTTTTTTTATAGCTGCATTTCTCTCCTATGTGCTTGGCTTCATAGGCCCATTTGCATTTTTTGGTATAAAATTAATCATTAAGAATATTTATTATTCTAGGACTAATTTTTTTGCTTTACGGAGTGTTTATGAATCAGTTAATTAACTTTGTCGACCATGATAGTGATTAGAATGATGAAAGGAGAGGATCTATATCAAGTATAGAGCAATTAATCCAATAGAGTTTTAAAGATAAGAATAAAGATTTTGGCTCAACAGATTAAGATGAAAGACCCTCGATTATGCTAAATACTCAAAACTTTTAATAAGATAATGATTAAAGACTATCTCTGCTTAATAGTGATCTTTAGAATAGCCAATAAAATATGCTAATTTAAAGGTAGACTTTGATTGCAGACTCTGCAAGAAATACTAAAATAGAGAATTTCTCCCAATAATAGCTGAAAGTATCTCAAAACTTGAATTAGGATAAATAAAGCAATCTTACTCCTATTGAAGAAGTATAAAATTAGTTTAGCAAGGATTATGAGTCTATTGAAGAATAGAAGACTAAAATTGAGCAGATAAATCAAGGGTAAAAGTATGATAATCTAAACTATATTCATGTGATGAAAACATCAAGAGGGATATTTGCTTTTCTAGACGTTATGATGTGCTGTCAAATGTTCAACTTCTGTGATACTACTCTCTCTGATTACTTTAAGGATACTTATTAATTAAGGCCTGAGATAATCAGTTTACTTTACTCTGTTCAAAGTATTGCCTTTCTAAGTATGTGTTTTGTTGCACCTAGAGCAGCAAAAAGATTCAATCTGGTCATATGTGTAGTAATTGCTTAATACATACAATGCTTTGCTTCGTATTTAATAGGGCCATCTTAGTTCTTTGGTATGCCCCAAGAGATTTGGATAACTATGCTTGGCTTCATCATATCTGGTCTAGCATCTCCATTCACAATTGTTCCTCCTTACAAAGAACTTGAGAACTCATTACAGGTATATGAGGGCAAAAACAAATTCAATCCAGATGCTGTTTAAGATGTTGTATCTGGATTGTTTAATGCTGCATATGCAATGGGTGGAATCACTGGACCAACTTTCGGGGGTTATGTAACTTTATACTATGGATTTAGAACAACAACAGATATATAAGGGATATTTATGGGTTCACTTGCAACTCTATAGCTTTTGATAGTTTATTTACCTGAAAGATTAAATAGAAAAGCCGGCTATAAAGTATTATAAGAAAAAAGATAAGTAGAATTCAGTAAATCAGAGTTGGAATTTTAAGATTGAACGAATTTGAGATAGATAATAGAAATATTGTTTATTCGAAAATATTCATGTTTTATAAAAATAGCATAATTAAAATACTGATTGATTTTCATTGCTCAAAAAGTTTATATCTTAAGACTTGTGGGGTTTTGGGGTTTTGGGGTTTTGGGGTTTTGGGG